CTACCAGAGTTCCTCAGGTCTCTGTATTAGGACCAATGCTTTTCACTATTTATACCAGTCCCTTATCTGACATTTTTTAACAATTATGGCTTATCCTTCTATCAATATGCCGATGGACACAGAAATAGTATCTGAAATCTCTCAACAAAATGTCTCTTACCAACTTGATAGACTTAACTCTAGTGTCTCATCAATAAAGAAATAGCATTCACCTAATTTTTTTCAACTAAGTGCCCAAAAATCTGAAATAAGGTTTTTTGGCATGCCACAGCAACTTTCAAAATGTTCCCCGCTCTCCAACGTATCAATTGCTAGATTAAACCTACATCAAAAATTCTTAAACAGCTAGGTGTTACTCTTGACCGTTTCTAACTTTTAAAACTCTCATTTCTGCTCACATCAAAATACGCAATTACATTATTTGGTTTATTCGCTACATTCAACCTTTTCTCACAGTTGACTACTGCAACTCTCTGTTATATAGAACACCGGCGGATCTAATTTCCTCTTTTCAGATCATTCAAAACAGACTAGCCAAATTTGTTTCAGAATTACCTTGTTTGTTTTCCCGTTCATTATCTTTAGCTCACCTGCACTGGCTGCCGATTAATTAACGCATCACATCATATATTATATATATCCATGCATCACATATAAAACATTCAACACATCACAACCACCATATCTTTACAAACTTATTCGCCTTCGCACAAGTTAATTAGAGATGGGTTTAATAAGAGGAAAGATCCGACAGAAACATAAAAAATTCACAAAAACAGTGTGTCTCACAGAAACGCTTGTCAACAATGGATTGAGACAGAAATAAAAATGAAAGTTGGTAAAACAAAATTGATAGACAAAAATAAAGTTTATCGAAAAAGAAAGTTTAAAATGGCGAAATGTTCTTGATCGATTAATGAATTACACTTAATATTTGGCAACAAATAATATGGCTTTCAGAGATTTTTCTGATAAATTATACACAGTTAATAATGTTTGATACCAAAATTCCTGTCATTGCACACGAAGTACTTACATTAGCAGAACAATTAAAAGATTATAGTTTTCTAATCTTTTTAATTGCATGGTATTAAGTACTATTTTAAATAAGTGTTGTTAGTTAAGCGAAGCAGGCCAAGGACATGGATCTGGTACAAATGCTTAAAAAATGTATTAAGTGTTTAGAAAATTAGAAAATGTTTGGCTTTAAACAAGCATTGGTTCATGCTAAAGAATTAGCTAAAGACTTAAACTTTGAGTCTATACTTAAACCAATCAAGAGGGTGCGACGAGTGAGACGTCATTTCGATGAAAATGCTGCTGACGAACCAATCCATGATCCAGAGAAGAAACTTGAAGTGAAATTTTTTAACCTTTTATTAGACACGTGTCTATCATAAATTAAAGAACAATTTGAATAAGCACATACAGAAAAAACGTACATCAAAAATATTGCCACATGAAATTAGCGTTTTTAAAAAAAAGAGAGCACATAAAAACGCACATCGAAATAAGCATACACAGAAAAAACGCTTATCGATATAAGCGCACAGACATAAGCGTACATCAACATAAGCATATACGGACATTAGTTCACATTCACACATACTTAAGCACACACATACATAAGCTCCCACATACATAAGCACACATTCACTTGTGGATGATAAATAATAAACTACAAATTAATTTATCAAAAACTTATGCGGTCCTAAAATTGTCACCAATTTACTAACATTTTCTACAATAACAATTTGGTGGGTCGATTGGATAAATTAGTCTTTCTAGGTGTTACAATTTCAAGCAATCTAAGTTGGAAAGAGCACACAATTAGCATATAAAACAAAGTATCTAAAAATCTAGGAATAATCTATAGACTAAAATATCTCTTACCGGAATGTGTATTACTTAATATATACTATTCTCTTATTTATCCTTATTTCACTTAGTGTATTGTAGTTCGTTACATTAAGTCTCATATTATTATCTTAGATAGATGTTTATACTCCTTTATTCGTATTTATGACCTGAAAAAATAGGATCATATTTCAGATTATTTATTGTTGTCTAATTTGTTGTCTTTTCCTAAACTGTACGTTCTCAGATTATTATTATTCTTGTTTAATGTTATAGTTAAGAAGATTATACTCCATTATACAACTGTATTGTCCCTCGTACCGTTTTATTTTCATCTTCAGTTTTTGTTTTAAAACTGTGGTCAAAATCACCGTGTTTAGTTTTACAGGTATCTAACTATGGGCTATTTAAAAAATCGATTTTTGACTTAATTAAGAACAACTTTTTTTTACAGGATATGATTTAATTATTTCAATTATTTAAGTTATTTTATAAGGAAAAACTTCTAATATGAATTCAATTGTTTTGTTTAACTTGATAAATTTTGATGATCAATTTTTGTTTTAAGTAATTTCTGCCCATTTTTGGTTAAATTTAACTTGTTTTCATTGGCTGGCAATACGATATTATTTCCATTTATGTTGTTAGTTTCATATAGGTATATGTTTTTATTTGGTTTGGGTTGGGTGGCCGTACAAGCTCGTTTGAGCTTCTGTGTCTCCATGCTTTTTGCTGAATAAACTGAAATGAACATTATAGTGTTTGACCATACAAGCCCATAATGAGCTTTGAAATAAATAAACATTTACAAGCGAATACAAATACATTAGTGTATGTATATAAACATAAAAACAGAATGGAAATAAACGCACACAAACATAAGCGCTTATCATGAACGTACACGGACATAGTGCACACATACATAAAAATATACACAAATATGCATGCAATGCACTTGTGTGCGTGCGCTTATGTATATGTGCATTCATGTTGATGTGTGCGTTTACTTTGATGTGCATTTTTTCTGCGTGGGCTTAGTTTTATATGCGTTTATTCCGTGAGTGCTTTTTTGGTATGCGATTATTTCGATGTGCGCTTCTCCCCTGTTAGCAAATACGTTTGTGCGCTTTTTTCTGTGTGCATTTTTCGAGTGTGCTTTTTTCGGCTACCAATAACGTAGAATATAGTATAGTTCGTGTACTAATTAGCTGGGACTGCTGGGTGATAAATATTTTACAGACTTAAATATTGCAATTGTAAAAACTGATTAGAAACTGTGTTCAAATTTTGACTATGTTTCTTGCGCATATGTGTCTATAACTGATGGTAAAGAAACATGCATTTATATTTCCTCCCATTTCTGGACTACAGCAGCTATGGAAAAACTTTGCTCGATACAGCTAGCTTGAATGTTTTGATTATAGCAAAGATTTATTTTATTCATACACACATTCAAATAACTAACGAATTATTTTTTGGTATCTTTACTACTTTTTTAATATAATTTCATTTAATATAATTTAATATAATTTCAACCGCATTTCAAGGCAGAGCATGTGCATTATATGATGTCCTGACTTTTGAACGCAAATAGTTAATTAAAATGCTTGCATTAATTTTATAACCAACAACTTGAAGGCAGCAAAATGTACCAACCAAAAAATTGTAGTCTTTGCTGAATGATCGTTTGACCGCTCGCTGCTTCGCATTTTAAAGATTTTATAACGTTACGCTGATTTTTCAACTGAACAATGTGGTCCTTCCGTCGAAAATATTTTTAGTTTTTTTTAATCATTGCAGTTTTGCGAAGTCGATAAATTTTATTTTCTGTTTCGTTGTTATATTGCATTTACAGCATATAGTATTCTTTGATGCACTTAAAAAATTTTGCAATGAGCTATCTGTGTCGCTTGATTAAGTTTTCGGTGCCAATATTATTAAAGTTCATTCAAAAACTGTTTATCAAACTGAATTTTTTTGTGATTGTTATGACAGAAGTTAAATTAAACTCAAAAGTTACTCTTTTGTTTTCATCGTGTAACATTAAGCAAAAGGGACATCATAAAGACATTTGTGAAATTATTTAGTTAGGATATAATTTTAAACTAAAACTTTGTGACAAAATCACGGATTTTCAAAATTACGGACCCTAGACAGTCTCTATTGGTTAATTCGTTCCTGCAGCCTGGTAACCAAATGTATGTTAAGTTGTGGATGCTTCTATAATGGAATATGTGGATTGTGATATAGGTAAATATAAAATATAACAAGTAAACTAGAATACAAAATTTTTCTAAAAGGCTACAGGTTCTAGTTTGTTAAGCTTTATTTTCTGTTTCAGTACTCATTGTCATAGTGGGCATTGGCATATTAAAAACTTCTATTTCATGTCATGTAGTCACAATAAACTTTGAGCCAACTCTAGCCACCGATTTCTCTTCATGAAATATATCTAAATGGTCGCCGGCCAGTTTTCCAATTTATTCTTCCTGACTTTCTCACAACACTTCCTCTTATAAATTCTTCTTCCAGGTCCTCCTACCCTTTTTTTCGACAGAAGTTAAATTAAATTCAAAAGTATGCCTACCAAACGATAAGCTACCGTCAAACACTAATGAAAAAACAAAACAGTGGCAGAATTGATGTTGTGAGACGCTTAATTTTTAGCCAAATCTTGACTGCTCAGCGTAAATTAAGCAAGGAGTTAGCAGCGACAATATCCTACAAATAAACACCGCCATTTTAAAATTCTAAAAAAATAATTTTGGAGACCATATATAAATAAAATCATAAAATGAATTTTTTTTCTGAAGAAAGTTTATGGAAAACATTAAATAAATAAAAATAACTAATAAACAAACGCAACGTAATTAATAAAATAACATGAAAATATTTAACATTAAATTCAAAATTCAATTTAAAAAACAAACTACAATTGACAGGTTAAAAATATTATGAACATTTTGCAAGAAATGAAAAAATGTCAATCAATTAACCAACTAATATAATCACAAAAACAGGATTCTGTAAAACTTGAATACATTTTATTTATTAACAAATTAGAAAGGAAACATTGAAGGATCACAATATTGCCGAAGAAAAATTATCCAATAAAAACAAAAAAAGCACAACAAAAAATAACTTCAGCTCTGAACATCCTTTTGACAGTATAATTCTTTCAACGATTTTAATTCTTCAATCAAAGTTTTGTTTTGGTTCTCTAACACAGCAACTCGATTTTCAAGACACTTCACATATTCTTTTTTTTTACGTCTGCATTCCTTAGCTGCTTCTCTAGATCAAAATTCGTTTCAATTTTAGATAACAATGGATTTATTAAACAGACTAATGACAAACTGGCTAAGCACTTTATGTAAAACTACTAATTTGTATGCAAAAACGTTTACAGTTAATCAAAAAAAGTATTCCACACAAACAAACAAAGACACACACACACACACACACACACACACACACACTCACACACACAAACTTTGTCATTAAATGGGCGGCACTCAATTGCTGAACCGGTCGAAATCATAAAAACTATAAACATTACAATTCAATTATATATACATACATATATATATATATATATATATATATATATATATATATACACACCACACACACACACATTAAGGTATGAACTTTACCGAATTGTTGACATTAACCAATTTAAAGTTTGCCTTTCAGATTTTCTTTACTAAAATTTTTTTTTTGATTAAGAAAATAAGAAACTAAATAAATAAATTACAATACGTGATGGCCTAGTGGTTAAGGTCGCCTGGTGCTGTTTCGCAGTGACCGGGTTCGAATATGACAAAAAGATCAACTTCAACGAAAAAAAAATGTCTTAAATCTTTTTTAAATGATTGAAGATGAAGTCCAGGTTTTCTCAGTGATGCAGGGAGACTGTTCCACACAGTGGGACCGGCAATTGCAATATCACTGGATCCAATCTGTAACCTTGCCACTGGCACCCTTAAGAGATCGTATTCGTATCATCTAACCGAAGGCAGATGATATGAATATATATATATATATATATATATATATATATATATATATATATATATATATATATATATATATATATTATTGAAACATTTATGAAGCGCTAATTAAACAAATCTCAAAAGCGCTATCTAACAAAAACTGAACTTAACAACATAATTGAGATAACAAACGAGAAATCATAATGCATCGTACAGAAATAAGATTAAAATTTGGTCATAAATAGAAAAGTAATCGATTCAATATAACGAAAATACGAAATAATATTTAGAACATGTCGACTAAAGAGAAAAAATTTATCAATAATGCATTACAATGAAAATAAATGAGTTTTCAGTTTCTTCTTGAAATCACACAGCTTTAGGTCCGGATTTCTGAAAGTAGCAGACAGGTTTTTCCAAACAGTTGGTCCAGAAACAGCAATGTTACGAGAGCCTAAACGGAGACTCGTTGTTGGGATCAACAGCAGGTTTGAAACATCGGATCTCAAGTGTACTCCAGATGCTTTTGGAGATTTTTTTTGAACCTGTCAGACAAATAAGATGGAGCTATAAGATAGACTTGTAGACAAGTGTTGAAATTTTGAACAACAATCTTTTGTCGACGGTTAGCCAATGAAGTTCCTTCAATATTGGAGACACATGGTCGTATTTTAGAGCTCCGACAATGAAAATAAATGAGTTTTCAGTTTCTTCTTGAAATCACGCAGCTTTAGGTCCGGATTTCTGAAAGTAGCAGACAGGTTGTTCCAAACAGTTGGTCCAGAAACAGCAATGTTACGAGAGCCTAAACGGAGACTCGTTGTTGGGATCAACAGCAGGTTTGAAACATCGGATATCAAGTGTACTCCAGATGCTTTTGGAGATTTTTTTTGAACCTGTCAGACAAATAAGATGGAGCTATAAGATAGACTTGTAGACAAGTGTTGAAATTTTGAACAACAATCTTTTGTCGACGGTTAGCCAATGAAGTTCCTTCAATATTGGAGACACATGGTCGTATTTTAGAGCTCCGACAACAACTTTTGCGGCTCGATTCTGAATTGATTGAAGTTCAGCCATGGATCGATCAGGTAAGTCATAAAACAAACTGTTGCAATAGTCGACGCGTGAGTGCACAAATACATGAACTATGAGGATCATTCGTCTTTTCAACGTGAACATTAAAGTCCCCGGTTAAAATAATTCAAGAACTGAGTACTGTAATGTCTTCCAGAATAGAAATCAGTTCTTTAAAAAACAATCCAGACAGCTGTGAAGAGCCCGGTCTGCAAATAGCGAGCAAAATAAACTCCTGACTATTAACTGTAAACCTGACCGCCAAAACTTAAAACGTGGTAACTGTAGGTAAGGCTATTCTTTTACATTTTAAACATAAACAAAAAAATATTATCAATTCACCATGGAGAGGGTCGTGATCTCTTACACAATCTAACCCCCATATATTGTAATATTTGTATTTCACACAAGGCTCTGAAGATGGCGTTCACGATTAATCACTTG